TAGCAACGCATACGAAGCCACACTCGGCCTCAGCTCGCAAACTGTGTCTCCATTCTACCAAAACTAGTATCTAGTATACCAGCACAACCCATGGTCATACCTGTCGAGATGCTGCACTACATACTCTCCGACATATACATATATTTACACATATGCGCATATACATCGATCTATGTGCAATTTAAACATTTAGATAGATATATATATAGATATATATTTAGGGTCATTTAATATCCATATTATTAATCTATAACTTAACTCCAAATATTATTCTTGAATTTATATTCGCTCTTATCAGTTTTATTGTACGTTAATACAAATATTATATTCACCGCGTAGAATTTAATTAATTTGGCACCCTAATTTACCCTTTTATTTGTCAATTAAATGCGCACCTTTTTTAAATGAAAAATCTTTTCAATAAGTTATAATACGAATCAGAACTCAATAATGTCTTGGTAAACGTTTATAAAGGGGGAGCTGGCGCAAATGGAAAAACTCGGGTCAAGAAAAATGACGTAACTTTCGACTGACGACATCGCATTGCAGTGGCCGACGGCGATCCATCGGCATACGGGAGGTATGAAGGGGCAGGGTAAAACAGCCACACGCTGCCGATCGAAATTCGGTCAAGCGCTCAAACTAGCTACTTGAGAAGCCTGTGGGCAGCGACGACAAATGACAAAACGAACTGAACGATCTCTGTCTCTTTCCTAAGGCACGATAAATTTATTCTCGTTATGTACGGGAGGGAGTGGTTTCCAAAGAACCCACCCCATTCGGCGAACTGAGCCGGCAACCAGCGTGCCTACCCAGGACCCAACTCCCTCGGCCCAAGTCCTTTGGACTGGGCACTAATACACCGACGTAACAAGGAAAAAAAACTTAATAATTTTTTAACTACTTTATTTAGAGCAATTATGTAACGTGATTAGCATTTGAAAATACCTTTTTAATGACATAAAGCACTTGTCTGTAGCTTAACTATCTTAGAAGTTATATCTGACTTCTCAGTAAGTCATAGAACAAACGGAACAACACAAAAAAAAATAACTCCAGAATTCTTAAACAAGTCCTCAACATTTTTTTAAGTTGAGAAACAATGGAGAAAAATGTTTTTATTTTTTAAATTTACTAAACAGAATTTTTTTTGAATATCCTTTGAACGGAGCATCGGATCATAGGAAATTTGGTGTCTTTCGATGCAAATTTTGAATAAAATTTAAAATTCTGTTATTTTACCAATCCAATCTCAAGAACTCTACCGAAAAAAATTTATAGTATGTCACTTTCACCGTCCTTTCTCCTGAACCAATTAATTTTCCTAAGGTCTTGGTATGCAATGCCTACTCATTTAGCGTTACCTTTCGATTGGTGTGTTACTCGTTACGATCGGACCATAACATCAGATTTTCAATTCTGCGGCTATATATAGTTGTCTCCAATGCACACGCTTTTGGTGCGCATCGTCACTACATGTACTGTCGTCCATGGTGGTTTCTATAAAATTGGCATAAAAACAGGTAAAAAAGTGTTTTACATTTAAAAAAAAATTAATTAATCTGCACAAAAAAATCAAGGTTTTATCGACTTAAATTTGTAAACCAGTGTTATTTGTTGGTCAATATTCTGTATACGGGTTTTTATTTTGTAAAAAATCTGCTAAGATAACCTTAATACAGTACATAGAAATTAGAGATATAGGATTTGACATGTAATTCCTACGCAGCACAAGTTTATTGGACTCTGCGAGTCTGTTTTGGTCATATCTATCTATTTCAATGTCGAGCCATTATTTTAGAATTTATAGGGTTATTAAGTCTTTTGCCGCCCTTCTCTCTCATTGCAAAAAAAAAATTTAACTTCGTACGTGGCTCTCAGCAGAGCTTGGGCAGAGGTTCGGGCAGAGCAAATGGTGCCTCTATACAGTTCTTACTCTATTGATGCTGATTCCATTGGTGCATTAGCATTTTGAATTGAATTACTTTTGAATTGTCGCAAATCAAAACGAAATTAATAAAAAGTAATGAATATGAGCGAGCTTACGGAAATATTTAATTCTCAGCAGAATATCCATAATGTCACCCAGGCATTTGCCAACTTGGACGACAAGGAAGGGAAGCTGATGGTGTTGTTTGACGGGTTCGCAAGGGAGACCACCACAATTTCGAAAAAAAGAGCAAGGATGCCCATATACATGGGATATATTTCCTGCTAGAGATCCAGCAGTAATGTATTGTGGCACTGCGGCCAGGATTTGCTGCGTATGCCCTTGTATTCAGTCATTTTAATGCAAACTAGATTTTACATTCGAAAGAAAAATACGCCAATCTTTGCATATAGAAATATGAAATACATTTTCTTTTTTTTAAAACTTTCTGGGCGAATAGTTTTTAATCGCATTTATTTATCGCGTTTATTTTAAATGCGGCATTAAGCCTTCTGGGATTCCCTATGTGAATAAATTCGCATTAGACTAAATGTGTTTTGGTGCGGCAATGGAATCCGGCTATTACTCTATGCAATATGGGAATTAAGGAAAAAAAATTATAATTTTTCATTTTTTCCTGCCGACAGGTCTTCTCGATTAGAGGTTTCAGAGAAAAATTAAATTTTATCCAGCGGCAAGTTTTGTAAAATATCGATAAGTGTTTAGAGATGCCACCCCGGTCCAATTCATTGAGCGCAACAGTTTTCTTCATTTTTACGCAAAAAAGTCACAAAACATAAAATGTGTAATTCAACTATATTTTTTTTTAAAAAAGTTCATATTAAAGGATTTATTGACAAAAGGCAAAAAAAATAGTGGTCTTACGGTTATTTTCCAAGACGTCGGTCTTGTCGCAAAGGTCAAATACCTATTGGTAATCAGGACTCTAAAATCCATGGATCCTAAAAATTTGAAAATGATCGGGTCGGGAACCTCGACTATAGAGTTCTCTCTTTGATATTAGTATGCTTAAATTTTAAAAAATTTTAAATTAAATTTAAAAATAAAATGTAATATTTTACAAATGTTTTGTGAAAATGAAATGATTTTGTATAAGTACCCGTAGAGGCCGAAATGAAGTGTAACGAACTGATTTTCTTTATTATCTGCTCGCTACGAATGTCGTGCGGCTAGCTCAGAAGATGTACGTGTTCGTCCCACCAAATTTATATATACGTGACCGCCCTTTTGACCAGTGGAAACGCACAGAAAGATTGGGAGTATGCAGTGATCTTTTATTCGCCGACTTGACCCTCGGCCGGGGTGGTGTACTGGTTATGTAGAATTACGTCCTGCCGTCGTCTCCTTCCCACGTTGAACGCCTCGCTGGATCGTGCCTGCTGCGAAGTGGTGTCTTCCTCGCCGGTTTTGCTTGCGATGTCTTCTGCCACCCTTGGCTCGGCGGGTTTACAAGGACTAGGGATGCGTCACCGTTCCCAGACTAGGGTGAACAAGCACTGTGCTCTCAAGGCGTACGCCTTTCGCAGCCGCAGCCTCCTGTCCCTTGCTCTGTCCCGGCCGGTCGCACCGGACGTCGGCTCAGTTTCTACTTGACGGTTCAGGCGTACGCCGGAAGCCGCCAACGCAGTCCCTGGGTCAAACGCCAGGTTCTAGACGAATGCTTCCACCCTACCCTCTCTGCCGCAGGCTTAAGAATTCGAAATATGGGCTGCTCGCTCGACGCTCGTTTTCGTCGTCCTGAGGTCCTCGTTGTCCTTGTCCGCCTCCAGCTATCTCGACCAGCTCCGTTCCTTGTTGGCGACTCGGTAAGCTGCCGTTCTGGGACTCTAGCTGTGGACCGCTGTGCTCTCAACGCATACGCCTTTCGAGACACCAACGCGCGTCCTTCCGGGCTATTCGCAGCAGGACCTTGTACAGTTCCTGCAGGACGATCAGGCATACGCCGGAGTTCGCCAATGCAGTCCTTGTAGGCAGGTAGCTAGTTCTAGACACTTTGCTTCTGAGCCCACGCTTTTTCGTCGAAGGACTCTATTTGTTAACTTTGTCGGACACGCCGGGTGGGATGCCAAGCTCAAATCGCGACAGAAGTTGTAACAAAGCGCCTGGACTTAGCCGTGTGATGCCGTAAGGACCTCAGCTACCTGTGTCTCAATTCGGAGACTTCAGCTCTAAGTCCCGAACGTCTCGACGTAGCGATCTTGTTTCCTTGATGACTCCGCACGGCTTTACTTGCTCCTTCACGATGTTTCACTGGTTACTTGTTCACTTGATGACTGTTACTTGTTGACTTGATAGAAATCGACTGATCCAGCTTCCTGCGCTCGGCCGGTTTATATAGGCCTCCATTTACCGCTAGTTATTGGCGTCTCCTTGCCTCCTGGTCCAAAGTCCACGGTTTTACCGTTCGACCTTTCGCCCTCTGCGCCCGGCACCAATATCAGGGTCCAAAGTCCGGTGCCGTCCCGTTACTTCCTTCTGCCCACGGCCCTTCGCCGCTCTCTTGTATTGCTGTCCCTCTCGGACTCTCCTTGGCTTTGTCTGGTGCTCAGTTCACCACTCTCTCTCTCCGCACTACCGTTACTACGGGCGAATTCGCCGCGTAACTGGTAATTGGTAGGCCACTGCTTGCATGCGCTTACTCCGCTTGCTTCTTAACTTGTGGGGAGTTATTCAACTCCTCACATTCTCCCCTTACTTCGGGAATGAAAAAGAGACTCGCTGTTCTCTCTGCCTTGGTATACTCCACATTCTGACATCCTTCCCTCGACGTGTCTTCTCCTCGTACTTTTCCTCGTTCGCCTGTAGTCTTCCAGTCGACTCGCTCTTCCAGATGGTTCCCACGACGCTCACAGCTCCTTCTTGAGTTCCACAGCGCCGATCCTCCTTCCAGATTTTGAATTTCCCGCCCAGACGTTTCCCCCGTAGACTTTAAATTCCCGCCCAGACGTTTCCCCCGTAGACTTTTGAATTCCCGCCCAGACGTTTCCCCCGATGTTTTTTGAATTCCCGATATGTCTTCTCCGTCGGATGGTCACTCTACATCGTGCCGATCGGTCTCCAGTCGTTATCGGTGTTATCGATAGTCTCTCGTGTGACTCTCTGTTGTAGGGTCACTCTCCGCCAAATCGATCGGTCTCCAGTTGCTATCGGTTCCGTGACCCAACGTGGTGTTGCCACTTAATTTATCGATGTTCCACGGTGTGTCTCCCTGTGTCGATATTTCCAGTATTAGTGCCCACCGATCGACACTATCGTGCAGCGCTAATCGGTCATAAATCGAAGCGCCCCCATCCCTTTGGGCAGATGAGGACATTTTCTCCGGGTAAGTTTTCTAATTTCTCCTTTTCTCCTTTCTCTCTGTTCTTTTCTCCTTTTTCAGCGTTCTGGACCTGACGAAGAGGGTGATTCGCCTTCTCCTGCACCCCCTCCCCCTCCCGGTTGGCCCTCGCAACTTCTCGTAAGTGAGCCGTTTGTTTCAATAACCCGATCTGACCTTTTTTTCTTCTTTTCAGCATTCCCTTTGCCTGAAGACGAAAAAACTGCCCAACATTTGGACGACACGTGCTTCGCCTCACCCCCCCTTTTCGGTTGGACCCCTCATCCCTGTTTCATATTTTTACTGTGTAAGTACACCGCATATTTTGCTTTAACTCCTACTGACTTCACCCTTTTGTTTTTCAGATTCATCACACATTTTTTTCCTTTTTTTTTTTATGGACAATATACATCCACATTTTTTTTTTGTGTTTTCATTTTTACTTTTGTTTCGGTGGCTGCGTGTGTGTTTTTTTTTTTTTTTTTTTTCCCCTGTACCAGTGCAAATGTGAATTTTATGTTTCCTTTTTTTTTTTTCTTTTATTTATTACTGGGTAAATACCCTGATCCCCAACGGTCCGACCCGCACCCGGAACATGCGGCCGCCCTGTTGCACCAGGACGCACCTCTTTCCTCCCCGCCTTCGTGCTGCTACGACCGCTGGGGCTTCGGTGATTCCCTCCGGCCAGTCCACCTCGACGACTTCCCTCCAGCGCCTCGAGTCCGGCGCTGAGGCCTGCCGTATGAACGCGGGCCTTGTCTCCACCACCGGTGCGGAATACTGCCGCTTCAGGTTCGGCCTCGGGGGTGCCACCGGGTCCGGCCACACCCACTGCCCTTTCTCCACCACGTCCTCGGCGGGAAGGCCTACCTGCTCAACCCTTTATTGCTGAGCGGCGACTACCTCTGGCGAGGCCAGCGGAGATGGGGTTGGGGTCGGCGTCGGCATCACGACTCCGGCGGGGCCCCGTGGAACTGCGGTCCTCCACAACCGTGGATCGCGACAGTTTCCCCGGGGTTCCTCCCACACTTGGGCTCCTTCCTGCTCCGTCGCTACAGTGGCCCCGTCCGGCCAAGTCCAGGTGACGGTGTGCTGCCTCCACACGCGTTCTTCCGCCTCAAAGGAGCCGATCGCATGGCTGACGTGAGCCACCGGGATGTCCATCCGGGCGTAACCCGGAGGTCCCTCCTGCTGCCGCCGCTCCTCTTGCTGCCGCCGCTCCTCCTGCTGGCGCCGCTCCTCCTGCTCCTCCTCCGATGCTGCCTCTTCCCACTCGGGGCAATACCTCGGGGTAGGTGGGCGTGCCGGTGTCCATGGGGGTGGGGACGGGGGTTGGTTCTCCTCCTCCGCTGGGTCCGCTGCCCGTTCCCTTGGCTCCGCGACGTACCTCGGGTTCATGGGAACCTCGGGCGTCCCCTTCGCCTGGGGTGGCACTTCCTTGAGGAGGATTGGGTCGCCCCATATCCGGCGCTCATCCTCCTCGGCAGTTCTCAGCGCCGCTTCCCACTCTGCCCGAGCGTCCTGCTCCTTATGCTGGGTGGCCTCCTTGCGCGCAGCCTCTTGCTGCCACCGCTCATGCTGGCGGCGGTACTCCGCTATTATGGCCTCTGTTCTGCGGGCCTCGGCTGCATGGTCATCGTCGGCAAAGTCCTGGCGGATCCTGCCCTTCGAGCCATGGGGAATACTCCCCTCGGGCCCCGCGGCATTCCGCAGCCGCCACCTCCTGGCCTCCATCGTCGGATCGTCACCACGTCACTATCGGAACTGACGGTGGGCTCCGGCGATGACGCCTCCGACCGTCGTCGGTTCCTTGGGACAGGCCTGTCCTCCGACCGTCCTTGCCCCGGTCCGGATCCTGCCAAGTCCTCGGCAGCCATCCTCCTGCGGGCCTCAGCTCTTGTAACGCGTGCGCTCATCTTGACTCTCCTTTTCGAATTGGCTCCTCTTGCTGGCGGCTCTCCTGACGATGACTCGGTTCTTGGTCATTCCTTATGACCCTCCCGTTATTTCCCTCGGGCATCCCTTCTTCGGGTGTTCTTTTGCTCTTGCTTGCGATCCCGTTGCTTCTCTCATGTCGCCCTTCCCCGTGTGAGTTCGTCGCCGCTTGGGTTTTACGGTTCAGCTTTGCTGTGCCGTCTCTCCCTCTACTTCGGTCGACGCTGCCTTTAGTCTTGTTTTTGCCGTATATAGTCTAACGACGCTATGGTACGAGCTCCTGTTCACACATACTAATCGTGCCGTTTCCTTCCCTTGATCACTAGTAGTTTCAGTTTGTGTGCCGTATAGACTCTAACGACGCTACGGTAACCAACATGTGCATCACCTTATTCCATGCGGCGTCCTACTGATGACTCTGGCTTTATGCCCGACGCAGAATCAGTTTGCCTCGTGGTCTGGGTCACTGTATCTCCTTGTTTCCTGCGTTCTATATAGACTCTGGCCCATGCCCGACGCTATAGTCCGCACTACTTGTTGTTGTTTGCTGCTTGTGTTGTCATGCGTTCTATATAGACTCGGGTATTTGCCCGACGCTATAGTCCGCCCTTTTTTTTTTTGTTGCATGCTTGTGTCGTCCTGCGCTCTATATAGACTCTGGCCCATGGCCGACGCTATAGTCCGCACTACTTGTTGTTGTTGGCTGCTTGTGTGGTCCTGCGTTCTATATAGCTCCGGCCCATGCCCGACGGTATAGTCCGCACTTTTTGTTGTTGTTGGCTGCTTGTGTTGTCATGCGTTCTATACAGACTCTGGTATTTGCCCGACGCTATAGTCCGCATCCTTTTGTCCTCGTATGCTCGTGTTATCCTGCGTTCTATATAGACTCTGGCCTATGCCCGACGCTATAGTCCGCACTACTTGTTGCTGTTTGTGTTATCCTGCGTTCTATATAGACTCTGGCCTATGCCCGACGCTATAGTCCGCACTACTTGCTGCTGTTTGTGTTGTCATGCGTTCTATATAGACTCTGGCTTATGCCCGACGATATAGTCTGTACTTTTTGTCGTTGCATGCTCGTGTTATCCTGCGGTCTATATAGACTCTGGATTATGCCCGACGCTATAGTCCGCACGTTTTGTCGTTGCATGCTCGTGTTATCCTGCGGTCTATATAGACTCTGGCTTATGCCCGACGATATAGTCTGTACTTTTTGTCGTTGCATGCTCGTGTTATTCTGCGGTCTATATAGACTCTGGCTTATGCCCGACGCTATAGTCCGCACCACCTGATGTTGTTGCCTGCTTGTGTTGTCCTTGCTTGTCTGTACCGAGTTCTTGTGTTTGTTGTTTAAGCTCACTGACGTGGACTGTTCGTTCTTTTTGTGTATCCTTGTGGCGGATTTTACAAATGACTGGTGAGACGAAGTCTATTACCGTGTACGGTCCGTCATATTTCGGCGCTAGCTTTGCCGCGAAATCCTCGGCTGCCTTTGACAGATGGTGCTCCTTCGCCCAGACTGTGTCCATTGCCTCCTTCGTAGATTGTAATGCTTGCCTTGGTCCTGAGCAGTCTTCTCCATGTTCCGGCGCTCAATTTCGAAGATCTCCTTCATCTTATTGGCCTTATCTTCAGACGTTTCCGTCTGCTTTCCTGTGCCGATGGTTTCCCTGTCGTACAGGGCGCTGGGAAGTCGAGGCTCTCGAGCCTGCGTGAGGAAACACGGGGAGTACCCTGTTGACTCCGACGTACTTGAATTTACCGCTAGCATAATCTCCGGCCACTTCTCGTCCCAATTCCTCTGGTTCTGTCCCGCAAACTGCGCTATCATGGTTTTAACTGTCCGGTTTGCTCTTTCCGTCGGATTCTCCTGCGGTGTATATGGTGCCGTGAATTGTTGCTTAATGCCCATTTGGCTGAGGATTTTTTTGAATGCGCGGCTGGCAAACTGAACTCCATTGTCCGTTATTACCACCTTCGGGACTCCGAACCTAGCGATGACTCTTTCTCGGAACGCCTTTTGAGGTGATTCTGCCGTTGCTGCTCGCAGTGGCACCAATTCTGTCCACTTTGAGAACCTATCTATCAGCACTAGCAGCATCTGGTTGCCATGCTTCGACCTGGGCAATGGTCCGACAAAGTCTGCACATACCGTTGCCCATGGTTCTTCGGGTATTTGCGTCAGCATTTTCCCGGCTGCCTGCATCTGGTTGGGCTTGTACCTGAGGCATGTCTCGCATTTCCGTACGTGTGCTCGGGCGTCCCTATGCATTCCTGGCCAGTAATATCGAGCCGCCAGCCTTCCGACTTCCCACGTGCCCAGCAGCTGGTGAGTCGTGATTCTCCTTCAGGACTGTTTCCCTCAGCCCCCGTGGGACACAGAGCTTCCATGCTGCCGCGTCTTCGCTGCCTGCTCTGTGCAGGATATGCCTGTACAATGCGCCTCCCTCCATGATGTAGTCCGGAAACTTCTGTTTGTTAATCTTCTCACACATATCCTTGATCCAGCTGCATGTTCCCTGCGTGTCCTCCGGAGTTTCTTTAGCTAGCCTAAAGGCTTCTGGTAGAGGCTGTCTTGACAGTGCATCAGCGACCACGTTAAGCTGCCCCTTCCTGTATGATATTTCAAAATCATACTGCTGCAGCTCCAGGGCCCACCTCGCTATTCTTCCTGAGGGACTTTCGATGCTGTTCAACCATTTAAGCGCCATATGGTTCGTCACCACCTTGAAGTGGTATCCTTCCAAGTATGGTTTGAGCTTCCGGATTGCCCACACGATTGCCAGGCATTCCTTTTCGCTGGTTGAGTAGTTCTTTTCCGCGCCATTCAGGGTCCGGCTTGAATATGAAATGACCTTTTCGCCGCTTTCAGTTTCCTGCGTCAGGACTGCCCCTATACCATAATCGCTTGCGTCCGTCTGCAGTATGAATGGTTTATCGAAATCCGGGCATGCCAGCACAGGATCGGCCACTAGCCTTGCCTTCACCTCCTCGAATGCCTGCTGGTGCTCTGGAGTCCATGTCCATTTCGTGCCTTTCCGCAATAGATCGTTTAGTGGATTTACTATTCGAGCAAAGTCGGGCACGAATCGCCTGTACCACGATGCTACGCCCAAGTATTGGCGCAACTCCCGGATGGTTGTGGGTGGTTCCAGCTCGGCTATGGCTGCTACTTTTTCGGGATCGGTGCCGATTCCTTGGTCCGTAACGCGGTGTCACAGGTAAAGCAGTTCGCTTTTGAAGAAATGACATTTTTCGGGATCTATCCTCAGGTTAGCCTGTTTAAGGCGTCGGAACACTTCCCTCAGGTTCCTTCTGTGTTCTTCCAGTGTCCGTCCGATCACGATGATGTCGTCTTGGTACGCAAACGCGTGTGGCGACATCTCCGGTCCTATACCCTGATCCAGTGCTCTCTGGAAAGTCGCCGAGGCGAAGTGTAAGCCAAATGGCATTACTTTCAACTGGAAAAGT